GGCCACACACATGCCACTCAAGCCAGCGGATGAGGGTCCCCACCAAGTGAACCCTGCTTCCCGGGCTTTTTCTGATAGAGACACAGCTTCAGGGAAGTGTACAAAAGACCCACGGGCTCGTGTGGATGGTGCTTGGCAGGGACGACTCTGAGCTAGGGCTGTGATACACACCCGGCTCTACCTGCCAGCAGCCACGTGTGGTAGACAGAGCAGGAGTCAGCATTCAAGGGACCCGGGTTCCAGCTCCAGATCCTCCACTTACCTTTCCCCATTACTTTCTAAACATCCTGTTCCCTACATTAAATCCATCTCTGCTGGAAATACCTAGAGTGGTTCCTGCATCCTGCTCTGAGCCCTGACTGATGCCACTGACTGGCACAATGCACAGCTGCCTGGAGTCTAGAAACTTCCATAACCATCTCCCACCACCCAGCTCCCCCATGCTGGGAGGCAGGTCTCTATAATTATGGCACTTCTGCATATCTTCAGAACACAGAGAATTGCAAGAATGTTTACCTAACAGACGGCCTTGCAAGCTAGAGGCCCCTGGCGGTATTGCAGGAGAGCGAAACCTCACTCCACTCTGGAAGCTTGCTTATGTTCCAGAACAATAAACCTAGAGACACCTTCTCCGCTCCCCAGCAGGCATCTGCTTACTTTCCAGGCGTTGGGCAGGATGGCTAGCAGCTCCCTTACGGGATCAACCGTTTCCTAGACTCAGGTTCCTCAGCCAATCAGACCTGCCGTTTGCCAGGACGAGGTGAGTTGGGGGAGCAGGCGGGACACCTTGTCCCCTCATCTTCACAAGCCCCACCCATGGCTCTCTTCCAGGGCACCATTCTCACATTTTATGCTGTATTATATCAGGTTATCCGAGAAGGGGATATCTAAATAAGGTTAAAAGCACAGGACATCATTAGGGAAATGCTCACGCGAGAGGGTGGGAAGGCAGGAAGACTGGAAGCATCTGGTGGTTACTCAAGCTGACCACAACCCAAAGGGAAGAATGACTGGGCAGAAGCACCCTGGGCCCAATGCGGTCTGCAGAAGGTTTTGCAAGGTTGTTGGGAGAATTCCTTGCATCTCAGGGATGGGTCTGCCTCAGTGTACCTGCTGTGCTGGGAGCATTCATGGCAAGGGACCTCAGCCTGGCCCTTGGCCGACGGCACTGTCTGCAGCCGGAGGTCCACAAACAAGCCCCCGTTATCTTCAGAGAGATCATCTCCCACCAAAATACATCCTTCCAAGAGCACGGCCTGCCTGTCTCAGGCGCCATTGCACGCCAGAGCCGAGAAAGCAGCAGGCACACAGCACACGCTTCAGCGGATGGAGCCGGGGCCAAGTGGCAAAGATGGCCATACCGCCTCCCCGTGTTGTGGGCACACCCCTTTCCATGGTGACTCAGCCAGTCCTGTTGAGAAATAGTCTCTTTCGGGACCAGCAGTTAGCATAATGGCTATGTCGCTGGACTCCCATGTAGTCGACCGCAGTTCGCGTCCCAGACCCAGTGGCTTAAAACTCACGCCAGGTGCATGTGCATGTGTGCCCAAGATCCCGAGAGGAGAATGGAGGAGAAGGGATTCCGGTGTGGCCATCCCCCCTGGGGTGTGATTTCTCGCTTTCTGTCTCTGTCTGTCTGGCAAGCGCACGCACCCTATGGCAAAAACCTCTCCAAAAAAAAAAAAAAATAGTCTCTTTCAAAGCCAGCAGATGGCATAAAGGTTACATCACTGAACTCTCACGTAGTAGACCATGGTTTGAGTCCCAGACCTGGCAGCTTAAAACTCACACCAGGCGCATGTGAACTCATGCACAAGATCCTGAGAGGAGGACAGAGGAGAAGGGATTGCAGCATGGCCATCACCTCAGGGGTGATTTCTCACTTTCTGTCTCTTTGCTCTCTGTGTCTCCGGTGAGCACACATGCCCTATAGCAAAAATCTCTCTCTAAAAAAGAGTCGCTTTCTCCATTCCTTGATAGAGTCTTAGCAAAAGACCCACTTTTGCTGATGGACCAGGCAATGTAACGCCTACAAAGACGTAATAAGCTTTTGTGGGTCAGCCGGCAGTGAGGTGGTTAAGGCACCTGGATCCCGTATGGCCGACAGTGGTTCAAGTCTCAGACCTGGTGGCTTGAAAAACAGTCCAGGTACATGTGTGCATGCCCAAAATTCCAGAAAGAGAAAGAGCAGGAGGGGAAGGGATTGTAGCATGACAATCTCCAAAAGGGACTGGGGAGGAGTTCTCTCTCTCTCTCTCTCTCTCTCTCTCATTAGTGCAGACATTCTCTGGCAAATTTTTTTTAAAAAGAGAAAGCTCTTGTGCCTTGGGGCTGGCTCTCTCTTGCTCTGTGTGAAGGTGCCATGGCTGGCCTTGGGAAGTGAGGCACTAGCTGAGTCATCCCACCTCTCCTGCTGACATCATTGAGCCCAGCACTGAACCGGGAAGGAAGGTCACCCGGGAGCACTCAGTCCCAGCTGAGCCACCAGCTGACCACAAAGATCAGCCGGCCAGCTCGGACCAGAGAAGCTGCCCACTCAGTGCAAGGAATCGTGAATCCAACAAAGTATCTGGTGGCTTAGGTCACAGAATTTTTAGGGCCAACTAGCACAGCCCTCTCTTCCTTGGGGTCTCTATTCGCACCGGAGTCCATTGGACACACCTCTTCTCCCTCCAGACAGAGCACCCAGCTCCAGGCTGTTAGCGTCCGCCTTCCTGCAGCGCGTCAACAGGGAACTCTACACTGTAATGATGAATATTGTCACCCAGCTGTGCTCTCTAAACTGGAAAGCAGAGGTGCAGAGATTTTCCAGCTCTCTACTTCTCAGTGAAAGCAAGGGAGAGAAATCATCCCGGCCGTGGGAGCTGGGCAGCGAGGGAATCGCGTCTGACCCGGTCACGCTGGTGGGTGACCCATGGAGGAGCTCATGCCCAACTGATGGATGTGGGTGTACCCACCACCCAGCACCCAGAGCAGAGAGGCTGGAGGTAGGTGTGGACAGGCCCATAGGCTGGGCACCTGTTTCGTGCAAAGCCTCGGGAACCACCCTTCTTCCCAGGGCATGGGCCCATCACAGGGAACAAAACCTGCTCCCAGCGCTCGACAGCCGTGGCATCTCTGCTCTGCTCCCACCCTACCGGCCGCCTGGGCACCCTCCGTGCCCTCCAAACATGCTGGGACTGGCCTTGCAGAAAGCGGTATGCCACCTGCCACGGTGGCACCGGAGGCTCTGACTGAAGTGCAGACAAGCCCATCCTCCCCACCATGGTCACCAGCTGGTGCACGCCTCACCTTCCACTCCAAAATCCTCACCTGGTACAGCCGAACGACAAAAACCAGCACAGGACAGAACCGCAGCTGCGAAGGCATCCGGGAAATGTCAGGAGGAAACCGCTAGCCAGGAAGGCCCCTGGAGGAGGCGGCCTGGGTGCAGAGCTGCTGACAACCTTGCCCACGCTCCTGGATCTCCTTAGAGGAGAAAGATCCCACATCCCAAGGTACCTCTGCTTGGCCTCCATCTCCCCAAGCTGAGAGCCCCTTTGTCTGCGATTTGGAGAAAAGATATTAGATAAGATCATTGGAGAGTTCATTTGAACAACTTGGACTTTGGCTTTGAAACAATAAGAGCAACAACATGGAATTACGCTTTGACTTCTCTGAATTGCAGTTTGCAAGGGGATTTGACCTATGAGTTTTCTCTCGGGGAATGTGATCATGGAAGAGCAACGCTCACGTCGGGGGCCTCTTGTTGTTACTGGACGGTCCTGCTGTAGCTGCTGCAGAACTCTCCCAGGCCGTGTCAACAGTGGAGCTGGACACAGCGTAGGGTGGCGATAGAAGGGGGAGAATTGTCCGCCTTGGTACAAAGGGGCTTCGGGGTCATTTCATTAATCCTGGGAGTAAATCCAAACTGCCCAGAAGTGGCCTCGCGAAGGAAGTCCAATTCTTTTTCCAGGAGGGGAGAGTCGTCCCCTCCCAGCTCACCACAGGCATAACGCAAAGCTCTTGGGTAGGGCAACCAAAGGCTGGAAAAGCTGGGGGGAGTCTTCTCCCCAGTTTCTGAGACTCTGCATGTGGAGGAAAATCAGTTGCTCGAACTCCCTTCTCTCTCCCATCTTTCGTCACTGCTGTAGTGACAAAAGTCACACATCACGATTTGATTGGAACAAGATTGAGAGGGTGAAAACTCCATCTGACTGTGGTGCTGAAAGGTGGGGCCTCTGGGGGAGGTCAGGATTAAGGTGACCAGGACGGGGTCTCCATGACTGACTCCAGGGGGTTGTAAGGGGGAGTAAGACCAGAACGGAGACATGGGGACACAGGTGCGTGCACTCCCACCCTCTGCTGTCCTGTGACACAGCCAGATTACCCCACCAGGTGTGGCCCCTGGACGCTGGGTCTCCAGTCATGAGCTAAATAAAACTCATTCATGCTGTTATAATCTACAGAAGGACTGGAACAGTCGCCAACCCCCATGGCTTGGTTGGTAAATTGGGAAAGGGCCCACTGGCCTGCCCTGCTCACTCCTCACTGTGGCCACCAGGAGGCGTGCCTTCTTTGCTGAGCAGCAGAGGGCTCCCCGGAAGCTGGCTCCAGACCCACCCTTTCCCTCAGGCCAAGGAGTCAGCCCCACTCTGGGGTGCAGGAGAAAGCCCACCTTACCTCCACACCGTCCAAAAGGCAGCCGTGCGTTGCGACATCCGTGGGCTTTCTCTGCACAAAAATACGAAAAAGTAAGGATGAATATTACCCAGGGTGTATTGTGCTTCCTTCTGATTGTAAAGGACATTAAAATACCTTAGTGACCCCTAAAAGTGTCCCGGACGCCCGCACCAAACCTCCCATGCCACCAGGCAAATATGGATTTGGATTTCTGGCTACCTGACTTTCTGCCTTATTTCTTAATGGATTCAGGACTCAGAACGGAAGAGTGGGCTCTTTACTGGACCCCTTAGAGGCCTCACCAACTTCCTGTCATCCTCCCTATTTTGCTTACTTTACAGAAGTGCCATCGCCTGTAAAGGAGCACGTTGACGATCTGCCTCCCTCTGCTGGGAAGCACAGCCTAAACTACAGGGCCCAGGGCTCTCCCGAGTGACGTTGAGTCCCCACACTTTGCTATAGTAGCTGTTCTGTGAATGACCGTTAATGGATGGATGGGGGATGAATGGGTGGATTGTGGATGAATGGACAGTGGGCTGATGATGGATGGATAGATGAGTGGGTGGATGAAGATGGAAGGATCCATGTGTAGGTGAATGGGTAGGTAAGTGGATAGTGGACTGATGGATGCAAAAATAGGTGGGTGGGTGGGTGGTATGTGGGTAAATGCATGGATGGATAATGGGTGGGTGTTGGCTGGGTAGATGGGTGGATGGGTGGGTAGGTGGTATATAGATGGGTGGATGGTATGTGGGTAAATGCATGGATGGATAATGGGTGGATGTTGGTTGGGTAGATGGATGGATGGGTGGGTGGGTGAATGGATGGACGGATGAGTGGGCGTATAAGTGAGCAGATTCGTAGCTGAGAGATTGAATCAGGGTAAAGCACTGCCACCAGGGCAGCACAGCACCGCACTGCACACTCACCTCTGCCACGTTACGAGGTTCTACCTGGCTTCTCGCCAGCTCACACAGGCTCCGGAGCCCTGCACCCCTGATCAGCTTGCCAACAGCTTGCCAGTGTTAAGCTTGCATCACCAGCACCAGGCTGGACACAGGTGGATACAGTGGGAGCGTGGTGAGCAGGGCTGGGGAGCCAGGCATCAGAGGGACTGAGACACCCCCTACACTGGCTAACTCTCACCCCACCAGGCCCCACCACAAACCCTCCCTCTCTCTCCACTCTCAGCCACTGTGACAGCTCAACCCAGCCTGGGCTTGGGGCCGCCTCCATGTTCTTTCTGGGCAACCTTCACAGGGTTTCTCTGCTGTTTGGTGGATTTCCCACCGCAGAGAAATACAAGAACGAAGTCATGCTTCTGTGTCACGTTTTGCACAGCTGATCCTGTTCATTCTGGGCAGTTTTAATAGCTTTCCAGCACTAATATTTCCCCCTGGGGAGCCAGGAAGACTCCAGGGCCTTCTCCAAGTGCTCTCAACCCCCTCCCTTAAGACTCTCACAGTCCCTGAACTGTCAAACTGTGAGTGGAGCCCAATGGCCTCCCACAGAGCCCAGCATCCTCCCACAGAGCCCAGGGCCCTCGCATGTGCAAAGTGAGGTCCCAACACATGTGAATGAAATTGTCCAAGAAATCTGGCAGCTTTGCACCGTGACTAAGGTATTCCTGGAATCCTGCCACAGTCCAGAAGGGCTAGGAAGTGGTTTTCCAAGGCTACACACAGGCGCCCGCCCCTGGCACGTGCACGAGCACAGGCAGGTCCCGCCTTCTGGATAATGATGTAAATAGAGTGACAAGCACAGAGCAGGTGTCATTAAATGTGCAACCCTCCCTCTCCTTCCACAGAGGCCAGAAAGTGACACTAGAATTATTTTGCAGAAGGAACAGCCCCTTGCCTCAGACAGCCTACCCTCCGTGCAGCATTCCAGAAATAGCAAACCAGCCCTCCCGAGCTGCAGGAACCCACGGGCTGTGTAGCTGTGCTCTGCCTCCACATGTCACAGGTGTGAAGCTTTGCCCTAAACGATGTCATTTGCACACCAGGTCGAAAGGATCACCCAGCTGAGAGAGTGCAGATGCTGGTGCAGAGTAGGGGTACATTTGGGGTTCGCATCCACCTGCTTTCCCTGAAGGAGGCCACAGGTTAGGCTGACCCAAAGGATGTCTAGGGTGCGCTCTCTGTGACTCTCCATCAGGCTGACTGAATACCACCTGCCTCTCTTATCAGATGGAAAGCTGGGCACTTAGGGGTGCAGGGCAAAATACAGCCATGACTGCTAGGGGACCAGCTCACTCTCCCTCCTGGCATCCCCACCTGGGTTCACAGGCAAGCGATTCATCCTCCCTGTATACCTCTTGCTGCCCTAGGAGGGAGAACTACCCATTGGATTGAACCCATGGGACTCACGCAGCCCTTGGTCTCTCCCTTGCAGACTACCTGTCCTCAGCATGTCCTGTTCTGGGCAGCTCGTCCCCAGGTGGCAGGTGGGCCCAGATAAGTCTACAGCTGCCCGGCCATTCAGTGCCTAGAGAGAAGGTTCGGCTTGGGCAGGCCATGTTTTCACCAAGCCCGTCCGTGGTGGGGTCACATTCCAGGGTGAGTTCACTCTCATCCATAACACAACTATCGCCAGGTAAAAATTATAGGAGCCATTGTTTTGGACTAGCTCCTCCTCCAGGTCACCACAGGCCGGCTCAAAATGGAGTCACTCATGGTAAGATGCCACTTCATCAAACAAACTTTAAGGAAGCTGCCGCATCCCAGAACAGACCAGTTTTTCCCTAAAAACGGGAGAGTCCGATCTACCTGAGTCAGCCTAATAGGACTCCTGTGCCCTCGGCTTTGTAGGAAAAGTGACTTTGAAGGCTCTGCCTCCCTGCTTCTTTGTTTCCACTTCGTTCTGTCCTCCTCTGCCTATAAAACCAGCCTCTTCTGCGCAATCCTTGCAACACCTTTCTCTTGCACCCAAATCCATGCTTCCTGATTGCAGCACCTAAGGCCCCCCCAGAAGGCTCTGTGTTCATTACAAATGCAGTTTGAAATTCACTGGCACCGTTGCTCTCCCTCCATCGAGTTCCCGTGTTTCAGTTCTTAATCGGTCCAGACACAGTGAGGAGAGGGAACTGACCATCTTCCCAACACCCCCTCACTGGATGAGGGGAGGACAGCCTGACTCCAGACTGGCTCGCTCTCCCATGCCACCCGGATCTCTAGCTGGCCCTCAGTGACTTGTCATGAACAGACTGGCATTGTGACTCAGGGGACCACCAGGTGGCGCCAAGGCAGGCAATCTGCAGAGAGCCCTGGCAGATTCCGGCCAGGCAATTCTGGGTTCCCCTGCTGTGTGACTTCAGTCAAGTACCTAAATCTCTCTGAGCCTCGCTTTGCCCGTCTGTAGAATGGTCGGATGATACTTTGCAGGGTGATAATGAACATGAACAATCCTCTATCCACCGCAGTTGGCTTGGCTGTACATAACAGAATAGTCTCAGCACAGGAGGCATAAACAAGAAACAAATTTTCCATAAGTAAAAATCTGAAGAGGACTGATCCGGGGTGGTGTGGAAGTTGCACCGAGTCCTCGCGGACCCAGATTTCTGCCATGCTACCCCTCTTCATCCCCAGTGCGTGGCTCATCTCCATAGTCCAGTATGGCATCTGGAACTCCAGCCGTTAAGACCACAGCCCACAGCACAGGTGGAAGAAAGAGGGAAAAATAAAAAAGCAAAAAGGGCTTCTCCCAGGAGTCTTAACAGACTCAATTCTTTTTTAAAAATTATTTATTTTTATTATTTTTAAAAATTTGTGGGAACCAGCAGTTAGCGTAATGGCTATGTCGCTGGACTCCCACGTAGTCGACCGCGGTTCGTGTCCCGGACCCAGTGGCTTAAAACTCACGCCGGGTGCGTGTGCGTGCATGCCCAAGATGCCAAGAGGAAAATGGAGGAGAAGGGATTGCGGTGTGACCATCCCCTCTGGGGGGTGATTTCTCGCTTTCTGTCTCTATGTCTCTCTCTGTCTGTCTGGCGAACGCATGCGCCCTATAGTGAAAACCTCTCAAAAAAATAAAAATAAATAAAAATTTGTTACAGGGCACGTGTGTTCACCAGAGAGAAGGAAAGTGAGAAAGCAAGCCACCAGGTCCAGGACTTGAACTGCAGTCGGCCATGTAGGGTCCAGCATCTCAACCACCATGCCGCCTACTAGCCCCACTCAGTGCTTTTTTGAAGTAGTCTTCCTGGACGTCTTACACAAAACTTGTGCTTTTAACTCAGTAGCCAAGTCCTGGTCACTTGGCTCCGTAGAGCTATTAGGGAAGGAGGCTGCCACGCTAAACTTCTGGGTTCTGCTCCCATGGAGGGGGGGAAGGAAGAACGTGGTATCTGCATGAGACAGACCCACAACTGCGGTAGGGTAGCGCCCGTCATCAGCACCCCTGCAGAGAACTCACAGGCCCGCTCTGCAGTCGTCCTCACTGCACCACAGCCTGAGGCTGGGGGACGGGCTGCATCCAGGCTGAGTCTTCTCTCTCTCCCTCTCTCTCTCTTGCTCTCTCTCCCTCTCTCTCTCTTGCTCTCTCTCTCATGAAAGAGAGGGAAAAACAAAACACATCCAGAGAGAAATCACCAAAGGGAGGGGGCTGATCCCTGGGGAGTAGCCCAGGACCAGAGGACAGAGGCTCCTCTCCCTCGAGGCTGATGTTAATTCAATGTGAGGGAAGTCAGGGGCTGCCTGGGACGAGGACTGCGGGCAGGCATGCAGAGGTGGCTCTTCCTAGGAAGGAATCACGTCTTCTCCCTAAGGAGCCCCTGAAAGGGGTGAGGGGTGAGGGGGAGAATCCGCTGCTCTTCCTGCAGGAGGTAGACTTTACAAAGGACCTCCACTCACACAGAGAGACCTGGATAGAGTGCTCAGCCACTGCCTGAAAGAGGGTGCGGGTCAGAGTTGGGGGCCCGGGACCTGTCTTTCACTGGCTCTGTACCCAAGTCCAGAGGAAGAGCCTTATCCTATGTAATCACCTTTTCACTTGGATACTCAGTGGACCTGCAATGTCCACCTAAACTTCTGGGTTTTTCACCATTTTATCCTTAAGATCTGCAGACATAGGGGCCAGCAGTTAGCGTAATGGCTGTCACTGGACTCCCACATAGTCGGAGTTCGAGTAGTTCAAGTCCCGGACCCGGTGGCTTAAACTCACGCTGGGCGCGTGTGCGTGCATGCCCAAGATCCCAAGAGGAGAATGGAGGAGAAGGGATTACAACATGGCCATCCCCCCGGGGGGTGATTTCTCGCTTTCTATCTCTCTGTCTCTGTCTGTCTGTCTGGCGAGCGCATGTGCCCTGTAGCAAAAACCTCTCCAAAAAATAAAAAAAAACAAAGATCTGCAGACATAGAGAGGAGTAGAAGGATTGTTCAATGCCCGTAGATCCTCCACACACACTGTCGACATGTCTTTTTAATTGCCAGAAGGCATGCACACTGGCCAGAGAGAGAGGAGGAGGACAAGGGTGAGAGAGAACGCACTCCCAGTGTGCTGTGGTCATGTCACAGTCCCTTCTCCCTTTCTCTGTCCTGTCAGGATTGGGGGCACACACGCGCATGCTCCCTGTGTGTCTTTCAAGCCAGTGGGTCCAGGACTTCAACCACCTGGCCAACCATGGCGGAGCTGGCTCCCCCAGCCACTAGGCCATGGGGCTGGCCCTCCATCTTATCTCCTATTGCATTTCAAAGAAAGTACACCTCACCACTAGACAACTTAGTATGCATGTCATCAACTGATGTTCTACATTTATTTTCAGCTTTAAATGAAATTTACAATGACTACATTAGTGACCTAGAGATGCCACACCAAGTACCATAAACTGGGCAGCTCAGAAACAGAAACGTATCACCTTATAACTCCGGAGACTGCAAGTTTGAGATCAGAGTGTAAGTAGGGGGCAATTCCTTGTGAGGAGATCCATTCAGGACTCTTCTCTCACTTCTTATGGTTTGCTGTAGTCGTTGGCATCTCGTGGCTCATAGATCTCGACCTTCATCTTTACGTAGTGTTCTCCCTACGTCTGTGTTCAAATTTCTCCTTTTCACAAAGACACCAGTCATTTGGAATTAGGGTCTCACCCATGGGGCAAGCAGGTGGTGTGGTGGTTAGGGTGCTGGATCCAACATTTCTAACTGTGCAGTTCAAATCCTGGATTCAGTGACTTGTAAAACAAGCTGTATGTGTGTGTGCATGTGTGTGTGTGTGTGTCCAAAAGCCCGAGAGGAGAACGGAGGAGAAGGGATTGCAGCATGGCCATCCCCCAGGGGGTGATTTCTCACTTTCTGTCTCTCTCTGTCTCTATCTGGCAAGTGCACGTGCCCTATGGCAGAAACTAAGAATTTTTTTTTAATCGTAATAGGTGCACAGACTCCCTTTTTCTTTGGCAAGATGGTGGACTACAACTTGATCAGTCATGCTGCTCAGTTTTGGGACTGTTATCTTGTCTTTTTGCTCCTTAAGTTTCTCTCTCGAAAGGAGGCAGACTGAAGAAAAAGAAAAATATGAAAGTATAAAATTTTCATAGGGCAAACCAAAACTATGAATTGCAGTTGAGAATCAACTATGACCAAACCCTACCTCTTTGAAGCGAATGTTGATATGTAATGAAAAAAAAAATGATTACAAGAGAAATTGGATCTTCTTTTTTTTCCTTTTCTTTTCTTTCTTTCTTTTTTTTGGAGAGGCTTTTGCTATAGGGCACATGCGCTCGCAAGACAGACTGAGAGAGACAGAGAGACAGAAAGTGAGAAATCACCCCCCGGGGGGATGGTCACACCGCAATCCCTTCTCCTCCATTCTCCTCTCGGGATCTTGGGCACGCATGCACACGCACCCGGCGTGAGTTCTAAGCCACCGGGTCCGGGACGCGAATTGTGGTCGACTATGTGGGAGTCCAGCGACATAGCCATTACGCTAACTGCTGGTTCCCAGAAATTGGATCTTCTTGGTGATACAGCATGATAGACTTTGCAATGAGAGTATACAAAAACTTTTATTCTAATGATGTTCCTCATGCTTTGGGAGAAAAAAGAACCACAGTTGTGCACAACTGAAACAGCTTCTGGATAAAACAGAACCCATTGTGAAGATGTTTAAGGATCCAGAAACGAGGAGGCAAATGCAGCCAGTCAGAGATGGTCGGATGCTGTTTGACTATCTAGCAGACAAGCATGGTTTTAGGCAGTATTTAGATACACTCTATGGGTGTGCAGACTTCCAATATGAATGTAGCAATTACTCGGGAGCAGCAGGGGATCTTTCCTTTTTGAGAGTTTTGGTCCCAGCAACAGATGGAGATGCTTAAAGATCACTGTGAGGAAAACTGGCCTCTGAAATCTTAACGCACAGCTGGGATGCAGCCACGGAAGACCTTGCATGGTTAAAAGAGACCGTAGATAATAATTCCACTCCAGTCTTTTCAACAGCCAACATGGCTCATTCACTGGTCTCTGTTTTCTTCAACCATTCTAAAGGCCTTGATAATATTATTGATCTCTTCCTTTACCGGCCACAGTATCTCGATGCAATTCAGACAGTGTGTCCACAACCCCCCGGGGGGATGGTCACACCGCAATCCCTTCTCCTCCATTCTCCTCTCGGGATCTTGGGCACGCATGCACACGCACCCGGCGTGAGTTCTAAGCCACCGGGTCCGGGACGCGAATTGTGGTCGACTATGTGGGAGTCCAGCGACATAGCCATTACGCTAACTGCTGGTTCCCAGAAATTGGATCTTCTTGGTGATACAGCATGATAGACTTTGCAATGAGAGTATACAAAAACTTTTATTCTAATGATGTTCCTCATGCTTTGGGAGAAAAAAGAACCACAGTTGTTGCACAACTGAAACAGCTTCTGGATAAAACAGAACCCATTGTGAAGATGTTTAAGGATCCAGAAACGAGGAGGCAAATGCAGCCAGTCAGAGATGGTCGGATGCTGTTTGACTATCTAGCAGACAAGCATGGTTTTAGGCAGTATTTAGATACACTCTATGGGTGTGCAGACTTCCAATATGAATGTAGCAATTACTCGGGAGCAGCAGGGGATCTTTCCTTTTTGAGAGTTTTGGTCCCAGCAACAGATGGAGATGCTTAAAGATCACTGTGAGGAAAACTGGCCTCTGAAATCTTAACGCACAGCTGGGA